ACATTGCCCTTATCGCGCCTCCCAACGAACGCACCTGAGGCTTCACTTACGACGCCATGAACAAACACCCTCTGTCACTCAAGGGCAGCTACATGCCCAGTCACAAGCTCGTGTGCAAACTCAGTCTCAAATTCAAGCCATAAATCAGAGACAGTCTCAACTTCAGGGTCATGGTCACTCTTCCAATATTGTGACATCTGCCAGTGCCAACAGTAATGCCTCAAGTGTCAACAGACCATCACATGCAATTCATCAGCAAGAAAATATTAATTTTGATTTCAAACATCAGTAATAAGGAATACAGTATTAGTTAACAGAACAATATATACAGTACTGTAATTTGATGGGTTTTGTCAGTGTGATTTAAATATTCAGAGAAAAATATTTTTTTATCACAGCAGTATTGTGCATCATATGAAACTGATTTTCCATGAAAAGTTTCACACAAGAGCATCATAGTTTTTATTAGTAAAAATTTTACTTCAATTTTTTTTTTTTTTTAGCATGCATGTGATAAGTGCCAAGAAAACATCAGGAATTTGTAGTAGTGTTCATAAATACTCCAGGTGAAAATAACCGAAGTATGATTAGACATATAATTATAGTTATCAATTGTTTACCAATTTTATCTCTTTAAGTGTCATGTGATTTTTTTTATTAGTTTCCCATGTGGAAAGCAAAATATTATAATTTATGTTTCAGAAAATGTAAGTTGTTTTTTAAATAAATGAAAATAAAACAAAATATTGTTTCCATTTACTTTTCTAAGCTGTAAAATGCATAAGCAAAATACTGGTATCTTTAGCATTTTGAAATTAATCTTGTGGAATATATTTTAAGAATTGACAGAAAGAAGGCTTTTGCATCATAAGTTTAAGATAAGTTTAAAACTCACTTTGACAGACACTGTAATTAGGAATAGTGCTTTTCAAAATGGAAAGGCGCATTGCAAACTATGCCTCCAGAATGCAAGCGGAGGTTACTGCCATTGTTATGGCATTAAGTTACCTAGAAGGTAGCACAAAGAAACAAGTGATCATCATTGACTCAAAAACTGCACTAATGGAAGTCACTAAATTCATGAGGGCTGTGATAATATTAACATATCAGGGAAGGGTGACCAAGTTTCTGTGGATTTCCTCTCTTGTTGGAATTTGTGGAAATGAAGGAGCAGGTGTGTTGGCTTATGTGGTAAGGTTTAGTGATGGTGTGGTGGGAGGATGTCTGTAGGCCATTCGGCAGACTTGCGTCTGGGACTCTTGGGCATTTCGTCTCATGTCTTGAGGCCTTTGTTTGAGTTGTTTTCTTCTTTTTACTTAGTGCCACAGGCTCCTTCCCAGTTATATTTGAATCTTTCAGGATGTCATTAGTGATTTGTTAGACAAGGAAGTCATTGCTATTACGGTATTTATACCACTAGATGATGTCCCAACTGTTTCCGGTTTCAATGAAAGACTGCAGATTCTTGGTTTATCCACAGTCTTCTTTTTCGGTACTGTAAAGTGATGCAGTATTTATATTCCTTGTCTAACTTTCTGGATAACTACTGTTTCCAAAGCTGGTCAAATCAGTTTCAATGGCCTCAAATCAGTTTTGTATTGTTGCTCTGGATCAGTTACTGGCATGTTAAAATACACTCTCAGTTCAGGGATTGGCTGGGGTTCATTGCAAGTCATCTCCTCTGCTACTACTTTTGAGTTCTTATGTTTGGGCTAAACTTGGCATCCAGAATTGTCACCACCTATTCAAGTTGTGATTTCTCATCTCCGGGTTCTGGTGTACCTCAACGTTTGACTAGTTTGGGCTCCCAGTTGTCAGAGTTTACTGCTAGCTAGGGATTTGAATGTTCCCAATTGGGCCAATTTAGGTCCATTGTCAACTAATGAAGCATTTAAGTGACTTCTTTCTGAGCATTGACATGATTGGAGTTCGTTTACATGCTCCCCTTGCTTTTGTGATCACACTGGATTCTGGTCTTGGTGTTTGTAGCCCTTCACAAGTTTTGTATGGATGTCTCTGTGGTACTAAAGCCATTTAGCACCTTATAGTACCATTTAATACCACTTGTAAATTACTGAGGCTGCCCAGAAAAGGGTGTTTCATTACATTCAACATTATATTTTGGGGGGAAATATACTTCTAATTCTGTAACTGAAACAACTCCAATTTTATACTGGTGTAAAACATTATAAGCGGCTTTGTGCTGTGCATGATAGTGCACAAGAAAACATGTGTAACGTTGTATTATTGCAAATGTCTCTTTCACCACTGCACCTTACCTCCAGCTTATGTGAGATTTCTACATGATAGCAAACAAAAAATATGGTACATTGTTTAGCAAACTTTTTTATATTTAATACACTCAAAATGCTCTATTGAAGAATCATAAGGAAGAAATTCACTGCATACCTTAAGTCAACAGGGACATGTGATAATTGCATGTTATTTTTTAGTGATACACAGATGAGTGGTGGAGATGTTAATGTGTGATACACAGATGACTGGTGGAGATGTTAATGTGTGATACACAGATGACTGGTGGAGGTGTTAATGTGTGATACACAGATGACTGGTGGAGGTGTTAATGTGTGATACACAGATGACTGGTGGAGGTGTTAATGTGTGATACACAGATGACTGGTGGAGGTGTAAATGTGTGATACACAGATGACTGGTGGAGGTGTTAATGTGTGATACACAGATGACTGGTGGAGGTGTAAATGTGTGATACACAGATGACTGGTGGAGATGTTAATGTGTGATACACAGATGACTGGTGGAGGTGTTAATGTGTGATACACAGATGACTGGTGGAGGTGTAAATGTGTGATACACAGATGACTGGTGGAGATGTTAATGTGTGATACACAGATGACTGGTGGAGATGTTAATGTGTGATACACAGATGACTGGTGGAGGTATAAATGTGTGATACACAGATGAATAATTGAGGTGTTAATGTGCAAGTGATATATCAAGGAATGACCATGATGTTTTTAATGATAAAGTTTACTTGAATGACATAATGAGCATCATGTTATTTGTGAATGATACTTAAAGTAAACGAGTTAAAAAGGCTTTCATTGTTTTATTGACCTAAACATTAGTTTAGTATAACTGAGGCAAAGGCATATCTGATTTTTTGTTATTTTCAAAGATAAACAAATGGCAAAGAAGTATACAGTATTTACCGAACCTGAAATTAAGTCATAAAGAGCTATTATTCCCCTGTGTTTTCTTTGTCATGTGTAATATTCCAGGTTTCAAAACATAAATTTTAATTCTTGGTAGTTACCACTATTCAAATATTCAGTGTAATATTTTATGAACTCTGGCAAAATTTAAAAAAAATTGCATATTTACCATCATATAGAACATAGATATAATGTACTGTGTAACAGTATTTCTAAAGTATTTGGTGTTGGAATAAGTCTTATTTTCATTTTGCTCTGCTCTTTTTTATAAACAATTAGTTTTGTTTTGTTACCAACTTCTTTCTAAATATATGTAAAGTATTTTACATTCAAGTCATTTTTTAACTCCAGATATCAAATGTTTTACAAATTCTTTTTTCAAAACTTTGAGGAACTTTTAATGTGCCCGCAGTACAGTATCGGTAGAAGTCAATTGATGTAGGGATGATTTTCATTGAGAATGGTGATTTGAAATTCTTGACAGAATAATGCTGTGAGCAAACCAAAGCATCCAAAAAATTCATTAATTCAGAGATCTTACTTTTGAGTTACTATGAAGTGATTTTTCATTTAATAATCATTAGGGGAAACAAGAAACAAAGGCATACCCACAGAGTATTTTTTCATATACTGTATATATAAAGCTTGTTTAAATGTCAAGAGAATCTTTTGTAGAGATTGCTGCGTGTACAGGTTTTGTTTTTTATTTTCAATAAGGGAGTCATTTTTTTGTACATTTATTGTCTCTCATTATCAAGCTATTACAGTATAATTCTCAAGAATACTTCAAATGATGCATAGATTCAATGGAACTTTACTGCAGTGTTTAAAACAATTTCTTAAAATACAAATAGAAAATCCTGTTTTTATATTACAGTATATGAGTTAATAAAATAATTTATCTTTTGTAATATTAAGCATTGTAAAGGAATATGGGGATGAAGAAACCAGATTGTGAGAGTAGTGTTGATGTGGAGAAACACAACTGCCTGACCTGGCCTTCTGTTTGCAGTGGCGCGGTGTGATGAGATTTCCCGAACAACTTCACCTTCACGGGCGCCGCCACTCTGCACCAGTCAGCAGGAAGTTCCAATGTGAGTTTTGTGGCAAGAGTTTTCAGTGGCAGAGCAACTTACAGTTACATGTCAGGAGTCACACTGGGGAGAAGCCATATCCATGCCCGCAGTGCTCATACCGAGCTACACAGCGCTCGGACCTGACCAAACATCTTCGCATACATACTGGAGAGAAGCCATATGCCTGCCCTCATTGCCCTTACCGTGCAGCGTATTCCTCATCTCTCAAGGATCATACACTTTTGCATCATCGTGGCATGGAACTGTCTACCTTATCCACCACACAACCACAATAGTTACGGCATTTTATGGCATCTTTGTCATGACATGAAGCCATCCGAAATATTGGTATGTTGGCATTTGAGTATATAAATGTACATAAGGATTATCAAGTTTAAGTATCCAGGAATATCATAAAATAGTAATGCCTCAGTATATGACAGCATGGAATGAAATGGTCAAGTGATATTAATGAAAATTTAATATCTTCTTGTCTCAGCCTTAAGACTTTATGGTATATTGCAATATAGAATGTACTAAGATGGTGAAGTATTTAAAAAGTGTGGAGTGACAGTAGCATTATGGCGGCTGGAGGGACCGCTGTGCATGAACTCTGCTGTCCGCCATGCCTTCCCCCTGAGTAACTGCTGCATGTCGCCCTATACCTCTGACTATTCCTCTCACCACTGCTGCTGCTGGTGTGGTGGTCTGACAGTGCTCTCTATTGCAGGCAGTGCAAAGGGCAGTAGCAGCGTTGGGGGGTGGGCGACTTGTGTGTCCAATCTGCCCCCGTGCCTTCCCTTCAGCTGCTGAGTTGAGCCGCCATGCTGCCACCGCCCATCGACTGGATAAGCTGTACTGGTGCCAGCAGTGTCATTACCGCTCTGATTCAAAATCTAATCTTCTACGACATCTAAGGACTCACACTGGCGAAAAACGCCATGGTTGCCCTATATGCCCTTATCGTGCAGGCCAGCGTTCTGATCTGCGGCGTCACCTTCGCGTTCATGCTCTCAGACAACCACACAATGCTCTTCAGTGTCGTCTCTGTGATTTCACAACTCCCACAACTGTCGCCTTTGCTCTCCACATTTTAGAATCTCACTCTGATAAGAGCCATGAAGACCCATACAATGACTCATAGATTATTTTATTTAGCATAAAATTATAATTTACACTTTGAAATTTCTTGAAAATACTTATTATTCACTACAAATATCAGTAATTTATAAGAGGATTTAAGTTTTATGTTTATTTTGGATGTTAACTCAGTGATTCAAGTAAAGAATTCTAGATACACTCTGATAGTGTGTGAAAAGTGTGATAGTCATAGATTACCTCGAAAGCTATTGAACTCTGGGAGGAGTTCAATATATGTTGCCAAGAATTGATCAACTGTACTAGACATATGTGGTGATGTCAGTACAGCCCTTGGTCTGCCAGATATCTAGCCATATGCTTACCTCTTGCATTTCTTATGAAGTGCCCAGATCCAGATTGCTTTGGTTAATGTTTCCAATGCAGATTACTTTAGAATCAATTCTGAGTCATAATAAGTAGACAACCTATTATTACTCAAAAACTGAACAAATGAGTTGTTATAGTTTAAGATTTCTTCTGTTTTATTATACATTATTAGAAAAATATAGCCATAATTTTATCTACTTATTAGACAATAATTGATGAGGGTTCTGATAATCACTTCTAAAGCATAATAGATATCCCTAGAAATGATTGAACAACAATGAAACCAAAGAATATTATTTTGAATAAGCATACATATAGGGAATTTTGGATCCCACTTTTTGAATTGCACCATTATGACTCAGTATCTACAAGTCATTGTCGTTAAGATTATTGTAGTCCATAAGAGTATTTGGATCTACAAATGTTTGCTTGGTTTTGTTCTCAGAAAATGGTCAGTGTGGTATGTACTGTATTTTGTAAACTTTTTTTGGCAACAGGAGAACTTTATCTGTGGAATTGTTGGTAACCTGATTGTGCATTGGCAGCAAAAGCAAGAGGTAGAAATAATGCTCATTTGTGCGGGGTGTGTTTGGAGATAAAAAGTTATACTGCAATTTTTTGTGTTTGAAGTGGATGTTATATTTTAAAGTATTCCAAGTTTTTTTTTTTTCCAACAGCCTCTTACAGAGAAACTATTTTTTAATTGAAATATCTATGTAGTATTAATTGGGTTTGTATTATACCTGTATTTGAATGTACAGTTCAGTTTACCCCATATTTTCACTGTATATGGCATGCTTGCTTGTGATATTACGTACGTGTTATTACCGTTTTGTAGTTACAGAAAGTGAATTACAGTATGCATGTGGCGTCTTGTCATCAGTATGTACTTGGATCATAAATAATTTGGAAATACTGGTAGTGATTTTAGCACACTCTAATTTTTGGTGTTTTCGTACACCTTACTTTCTGGAGTTTTAGTACATCCTACTTTCTGAAGTTTTGGCAGATTTTGGCCTTTAGAGTGTGGCAGTTATTTTTTGTTCCATTGCTAACATATGTAATTATCATGGCCCCTCTGATTTTAGTTGATGTCAAACATCTTAGTGTTGCAGCTGATGTTTCTTAACTTTGTTTGCCATTTGGGTACCTGTCTTTAAATGCTTTCTGTATTTGTTTTTGTTTGTGCAAACCATTCTATAGATGCATTTGCCAATTTGATCACATTTTGTTAATAGCTTTTTAGCATTTTTCAATTAATTCATTTAATTATCCTCAAACTTTGCAATACAGGGTATTGCACAAAAGTCTCATACTATGGCATTAATTTGTTTTCTGGATATAGGTTATCTTTTATACATACTTGTAGGTTATTTTGTTATTCTGAAGTTTTGCTCTGCTCAAAATTTTTGTATCATCTGCAAAAATACCTATGACATTTATCTTCCTTTGTGGTAATACATAACTGTTTATAGACTAGCAACATTTTTGAAGCCAAGGGCACCCAACTAGTAACATACTTTCAAGCTGGCACTTTACTTCTTACTGGTGCCCTCGTTTTCTTTCAGATAAATCGTTCATCCGTTGTAGTAATACTGTTTCCCCTTATTTTCTCTCATGTGATCTAATTGCCTTTAGTGTGAAACTCTGTCAAGGACATTTTTTGCCCATTTGGCTTTCTCTAGTGTTTTCACCATAATGTTTGTTAACTGAACAGGCTAATAGGTCGAAAGGTTTTCCTATCTCCTGTTTTGTAAAGAGACACAATGTTGGCCATTTGTTAGACAGCTTTCTCTCTGAAAGTAAAACTTTGGTTTTAGACCAGATTTGATAATTGAGCTCTTTTTGCATATTTCTGCAAGATTCACTGTGATATTTGGTCAGAATACACTATTTTAGTTCATATTTAATATAACTGTAATTTTGTTTCCCTGGTTATGGCTGCTGTACAGTGTTCTTAGCCATTGGTTGTTGTAAACTTCAATCTGATGTAGAATGCCTCATAAATTTCTCTATTCATATTTAACACATACAGTATATAATTTTTTCGTCATAATTTTAAAATTTGTAGGATGTGTGTGCACTGTTGTTCTCTCTTGGTTCTAGTATGATGTACCATATTTTATTTATTTCTTGCTAACTTAAGTCTCATATTCTTGTGGGTTAAATCATTTTATCAGTATGCATTGATTTTACAACTTTACAGCATATTACGTTGAACAAGTACACTGTGTTTCTCTTTTCATGCTGTCTCAGAATGTTCTGCCAATTTATATCATATATATTACAGATTTAGTCACTATCAAACTGGTAGAAGTTTGAAAGTGCTTGCCATTATCTACATGACTTCTTCATTAACCATTTCACTCTGATACATGACAACGTTTGAATGGCCAAAAAAGTAGATCACAGTAATACACATGTTTTGTCAAAAGGGCATCAGAAATAATTTCAGGATCCTGAAATGGTAGTCTAGACATCCAGCCTTAAAAATTGGAGTTAAAAATAAAAAATTTGAGCTTAAAAATTGCAGCTTCGTAGCTGCAGCCGGTGGTGGTGACAGTTGAAAATCCCGCTCGATACGGTAGACATAACTCCAGCAGGTGTAATTAGTCCATGTTGAGTACTTGAAAATTTATCTGGGAAGTAAATTTTTTTATAGTTAAAATTTTATTCGATATATTGGAAACATTTTTAGTTTTGTATTAAATTGCTTGAAATCTCAAAAAAAAATACAAGTATTCTTATTATTGGTTTCACAGTATTTATTTTGAACACTTTTGGTTTGGTAGTGAATTTTTGTATAACATTTTATATTCGAAAAGCATGATTCAAATATGTACAGGGTATTTTATTTTATATAACAGTATAATTAAATTGTAAAATAAAATTATAATTTTCAAGCTGAAATGAAAGTGCTGCAATGAAGAGTTTATGTTTATCTTTGTGTTAAATCTCCTCAATAAACGGTAGAGCACAATATACAACAGGTTCAGTGTAGTTTAGGTGTTTGGATTATGTGTATGGTCTTCAATTTCTGTACAAATTTTTGACATTTTATACTCCCTCATCCACTTCTTTAGATAGTTTCTACTGGCATCTGACTGGTCCTTATTCATTGCATCTACTTAGGTAGCCTTGTAAACAATTAAATTGACCCACCTTCTGTAAGGGCAACGCGTATTTTTCTACTAGTATAAATGGAACTAGATAGAAACAGACACCTGGCTTTTGCGTGTGTGAATAATTGTGAAGTAGGGCTGCTTGCTCAATCAGTTAATTTATATAAGTAACAAAAGACCACACACCTGGGCTGGCTACACAGTTTCTCTCTGCTAAGGCACCATTGAGTATGACATGCAACACCAGTCTCAAATGATAGAAATTTACTTTACAATGACTTTGTTCACTAACACTTAAAAATTACGTTACAAAATATCTTAAGAGAGTGGTTCACTTTAACAGGGACTGGAGGTATTGCAGTTGACTCTTGATCCAACGATGTAACACTTAGTTAACAAATTACCTTACTCTATAATCCATGAACAATTCTAACTTTCAACTTAATTCAAAGTTTAATGTACAACAATGAACAGGATATGTACTACAGGGAGTGACACAAGACACATTCAATAACAGATAAAGGGACAGAAAACATGTACATTCCCAGCCACCACTGGGACATGAAATCATGATAAATCCTACAATAAACAAGCGTGGTACAGTAGTCAAAACACTAGAAAAAATTGTTAAAACCAAATGGATAGAACTCCTGGAGAGTAATGACATAATAACAAACAGGCAGTATGGTTTTCAAACAGGAAGTTCCTGTGTAACAAATGTACTTAGTTTTTATGATAAAGCCACACAGATTCTACATGAAAGAGATGGTTGGGTTGACTGTGTCTATCTGGACCTAAAAAAGGCTTTTGATAATCCCACAACCGAGGTTGTTTTGGAAACTGAAACATGCTGGAGGGATAACAGGTAGAATGTTGACATGGATGACATATTTTCTGACAGAAAGATGAGGGCGGTGATTAGAGGCAATGTACAGTACTCACCTAATTGTGCTTGCGGGGGTTGAGCTTTGGCTCTTTGATCCCGCCTCTCAACTGTCAATCAACTGGTGTACAGATTCCTGAGCCTACTGGGGTCTATCATATCTACATTTGATGTGAGTATGAGGGGAGGACGATATCTACACTTGAAATTGTGTATGGCGTCAGCCTCCACCACATCACTTCCTAGTGCATTCCATTTATTAGCTACTCTGACACTGAAAAAATTCTTTCTAACGTCTCTGTGGCTCATCTGGGTACTAAGTTTCCTTGTTCGTGTCCCACCCACAGTATCTGACTGAAGGCGTTACTAGCTAAGTACCACAGGGCTCAGTTTTTGTGCCAGTAATGTTCATTTTCTTCATACATGATCTACCAGAAGGCATACAAAATTATATGAACATGTTTGCTGATGATGCTAAGCTATTAGGGGAAAATAAGAACCTAGATGGTTGTCATGCTCTTCAAATGGACCTAGATAAAATAAGTTGTTGGAGCACCATGTGGCAAATAGAATTCAGTGTAAATTAATGTCATGTTATGGAATGTGGAATAAGAGAAAATAGACCACACACAACCTACAAATTATGTAGAAAGGAAAAAGACCTTTAACAAAGAAAGAAATCTAGAGGTGGTTCTGGATAGTAGACTGTCACTAGAGAAGTACATAACGAACATTGTGCAAGGAGCAGATGCTGTGTTTTCTAACTTCAAAATCGCTTTTAATTACTACATGGATGGTGAAATACTAAAGAATCTGTTCATGACTTTTGTGAGATTAAAATTAGAATATGCAGCAGTTGTATGGTCCCCATATCTCAAGAAGCACATTAACAAACTGGAAAAGGTGCAAAGGCATGCTACAAAATGGACTGTTTATTTGCCTTCATAGGTTTTTATTTATATTCTTTTAGAAGGAAATGTTCTCGCGCTGTAATTGTATTGCGCATGTGCAGCACTAGTCCCTTTCCATGGTGGGAGTTTCAAATGCTCTTTCTTCCCTTCAAACCAACACAGTTTAAACTGTTGACTGCCAGTTATTTACACTATTTCACTGTTAACTATTAACTCTATTAACACTATTTCACTTATGCCTTACAAAAAGGACCCCTTCCTTACAACTCCCCCCCCCCCTTCTGTCTCTCCCTCCCCTCTCTCTGCCTCCCCTCCCCTCTCTACCCCTTCCCCCTCTTTCTACCCCTCCCCCCTCTTTCTACCCCTCCCCCCTCTTTCTACCTCTCCACCCTCTTTCTACCTCTCCACCCTCTTTCTACCTCTCCACCCTCTTTCTCTCTCTCTCTCTCTCTCTCTCTCTCTCTCTCTCTCTCTCTCTCTCTCTCTCTCTCTCTCTCTCTCTCTCTCTCTCTCTCTCTCTCTCTCTCTCTCTCTCTCTCTATCTCTCTCTATCTCTCTCTCTATCTCTCTCTCTCTCTCTATCTCTCTCTCTCTATCTCTCTCTCTCTCTCTCTCTCTCTCTCTCTCTCTCTCTCTCTCTCTCTCTCTCTCTCTCTCTCTCTCTCTCTCTCTCTCTCTCTCTCTCTCTCTCTCTCTCTCTCTCTCTCTCTCTCTCTCTCTCTCTCTCTCTCATTAAATATATTTAAATCCAATATAAGGATTTGCATGTGACATTGGAGATTTATATACAACAGCTTGTGATGATTTTCACTTTATTATAAAGGAAATATGATTGGCTACATCTACTAAATTTAGTTACTGTGTTTTAAAGTACAGTAGTTCTTAACTTTTATAATTGTTGGTATTAAAAGTTTAGGAGTTATGTAATGTTTATATTTTATGCAGAAATTCTAGCAGTGCTGCATTTTGATTTTGGAGTCGTTCTCTAATACAGTAGCAAACTTGTCAATAATACCTGATTATCGAAATAAAATGAATGAATGTCTTAAAAGCTTTTGCAATTTGTTTTATAGTACAGTGGGCTTAAATATAGTGCCAATGAAGTAATTGAAATACACTATGTGCTAAAAATTTAAAAAAATTTAAGTGCTGTACCTGTATATAAAAGGCAATTGGGAGGGAGGATGTTATTACTCTAGATAACCAAGACATGTGTTGCACCCAAGATTGCAGACTCAGTTAACCGATATCTTGTATGAATCTTTAATTGTGATACTTAATGACAACTATGATGTTTCTTGATTGCACTACTGTATAATCTTTATGTATATTTATGAATGCTCATATACTGTGCCGATTAAAAGAATGGTTACATTTAATAATAAAATACTATACATATAAAATATTTTTAGCATTTGCACAATTTTTTTTTCATTTCGGTTGATAAACCTTTTTTATTTCATTCTTAAACACAACCATGCTTCAGTGACAGATTCGGCATTCCGATGTTGCTGTATGATTCATTGGCGATCAAAAGTAATTGACTGTAAATAGCATTTACATGTACAGTATTGTATAATTCGTTTTTGGTATAGGCTATAAAGATATAATTTACAAAGATATCAATGATATACTAAATATCCCGAACCTAACTAAACCAATGACCTAAAAATAGAAATGGGGACAACCCATCAGTATTGCAAGCCACTGTCACTTATAGTACAGGACGTCAAATTTTATCAATTGGGGATTTATACAGTACATAAAAATGCAATGTACCATTCGAGAGGACACGTTTCATATCCACACTTCCTGTCACCGCTACTAAATTCTTTACTATCGGAGCAATTATGTACCACAATACTATACTGACTTAACAAAAGGCATCTTCCAGTCATGGATAATAGGACAATTATAAGCATTGAACTGTGGTAGATAGAACCTTTGTTGGAAATCCTGAAAATTAAATTATGTTATATTTGGATAGAAATATTCATCATTATTTACAGTGAGAGTTGATATTTGTGTGGGTAGTATATTATATATATATATATATATATATATATATATATATATATATATATATATATATATATATATATATATATATATGTCGTACCTAGTAGCCAGAACGCACTTTTCGGCCTACTATGCAAGGCCCGATTTGCCTAATAAGCCAAGTTTTCCTTAATTTATATATTTTCTCTAATTTTTTTCTTATGAAATGATAAAGCTACCCATTTCATTATGTATGAGGTCAATTTTATTTTATTGGAGTTAAAATTAACGTAGATATATGACCGAACCTAACCAACCCTACCTAACCTAACCTAACCTATCTGTATAGGTTAGGTTAGGTTAGGTAGCCGAAAAAGTTAGGTTAGGTTAGGTTAGGTAGGTTAGGTAGTTGAAAAACAAATAATTCATGAAAACTTGGCTTATTAGGCAAATTGGGCCTTGCATAGTAGGCTGAGAAGTGCGTTCTGGCTACTAGGTACGACATATATATATATATATATATATATATATATATATATATATATATATATATATATATATATATATGTATGTATATATATATATATATATATATATATGTCGTACCTAATAGCCAGAACGCACTTCTATGCCTACTATTCAAGGCCCGATTTGCCTAATAAGCCAAGTTTTCATGAATTAACTGTTTTTCGACTACCTAACCTACCTAACCTAACCTAACCTAACTTTTTCGGCTACCTAACCTAACCTAACCTATAAAGATAGGTTAGGTTAGGTTAGGTAGGGTTGGTTAGGTTCGGTCATATATCTACGTTATTTTTAACTCCAATAAAAAAAATTGACCTCATACATAATGAAATGGGTAGCTTTATCATTTCATAAGAAAAAAATTAGAGAAAATATATTAATTCATGAAAACTTGGCTTATTAGGCAAATCAGGCCTTGCATAGTAGGCTGAGAATTGCGTTCTGGCTACTAGGTACGACATATATACATATATATATATATATATATATATGTCGTACCTAGTAGCCAGAACGCACTTCTCAGCCTACTATTCAAGGCCCGATTTGCCTACTAAGCCAAGTTTTCATGAATTAATGTTTTTTCGACTACCTAACCTACCTAACCTAACCTAACTCAACTTTTTCTCCTACCTAACAGAACCTAACCTATAAAGATAGGTTAGGTTAGGTTAGGTAGGGTTGTTAGGTTCGGTCATATATCTACGTTAATTTTAACTTCAATAAACAAAAATTGACCTCATACATAATGAAATGGGTAGCTTTATCATTTCATAAGAAAAAAATTAGAGAAAATATATTAATTCATAAAAAATTGGCTTATTAGGCAAATCGGGCCTTGCATAGTAGGCCAAGAAGTGCGTTCTGGCTACTAGGTACGACATATATACATATATATATATATATATATATATATATATATATATATATATATATATATATATATATATATATATATATATATATATGTCGTACCTAGTAGCCAGAACTCACTTCTCAGCCTACTATGCAACGCCCAATTTGCCTAATAAGCCAAGTTTTCATGAATTAATGTTTTTTCGTCTACCTAACCTACCTAACCTAACCTAACCTAGCTTTTTTTGGCTACCTAACCTAACCTTACCTATATATATAGGTTAGGTTAGGTAGGGTTGGTTAGGTTCGGTCATATATCTACGTTAGTTTTAACTCCAATAAAAAAAAATTGACCTCATACATAGTGAAAAGGGTAGCTTTATCATTTCATAAGAAAAAAATTATAGTAAATAAATTAATTCAGGAAAACTTGGCTTATTAGGCAAATCGGGCCTTGAATAGTAGGCTGAGAAGTGAGTTCTGGCTACTAGGTACGACATATATATATATATATATATATATATATATATATATATATATATATATATATATATATATATATATATATATATATATATATATATATATATATATACATATATATATATACTCCTTGGCCTAGTATGCAAGTCACTATTTGCTTAATAAACTGAGTTTTCTTGAAGTTATATATTTTTCTAATTTGTTTCTTGTGAAATGATTAAACTTTCCCTTACATAATATATGATTTTATTTTTTGTAATTTGATTTAAAACTAAAGTAAAAATATGACCAAACCTAACCCAA